TTCTCCTGTATGATTTTTAACATCTTTGCCTGATGAAGAAGCCAGTGATGCTTGCAACATGTACTTAGTGCATTTTGCTTGGTCCAATAAATGTATCACTCATGTGTGGATTTGGGATGTTATTATTCTTTACTATATGGCCAACATGGCTACCTCTGGATGTCTTTCCTTGTGATTAGTTCAGACTTTGGCAAAAGTAAGGTGTCCTTCTGACAGCATAATCTCAGGTTAGGAAGGGAGGGCAAGGGAGAGACAGACAGAGAGAGACAGAGAATCAGGGTGTGAAAAAGAGAGTGGCAAACAGGGGAAAAAAGTGTCCAAAAGAAAAGATGGAGTAGCTTGCCCACTTTGGTTCTGTTTTGGCCCATCCCTGGATTTAACCATTCTGGCCACTCTCATGTGGCCCATAAAATATTGTCCCTGAAGATTATCCCATTGACAGAAAGAAGGCTGTTCAAAGCCAAGTGACAATGGGTCAAGCAATCCAGGCTAGATGACAAAAGAATCTCTCCCTTTGGTTTGGTCAAACTACACTCTCCAAAGCCTTCAAGTCCAAATGAAAGAAAAGTTTATGAAACGGATGTAAATAGGTTGTCAGGGTGGGCAAGGATAACTGTCCAAACACTTTCACCAGTCCCACAGGTGATTCATCTGTCAAACTGTCTGTGCACATAGACAGGCAGTCCCTTTCATTATCTTTTTGTGCTTGGCGATGGGTGTTCATTAAAATGTGACATATGGAAAAGGGGTTTCCATAGCAGTGAGACTACATCAATTCGTCCTGTGCTTCTCAACCTTTCCTAGATTATGTCCCATCAACCACATTATTAAAGAATTTGAAGTTCACTATGAGAAACCCTCAATGAGAAGTCTGAACCCCACAATGTGAAAAATGTGACTCAGGTCATATTTTCCAAGGAGAATATTTACATCTTTGTTTCCAGGCATTATGGCCAGAATCCTTTGGGTGTCATGTACCGGTGTCCATTCCTTTACACAGATGCTTGTACTTCTTTGTACTTTGTACTTCTTTGTCATTATTATTGTGTGCCTTCAAGTCATTTCCAACTTATGGCAACCCTAAGGCAAAATTATCATGCGGATTTCTTCACAAGTTTCTTCAGATGGGGTTTGCCATTGTCATCCTCTAAAGCTGACAGAGTTACTTGCCCAGGTCACCCAGTGGGTTTACATGGATGAGCTGGGATTCAAACCCTGGTATCCACAGTAGTCCAACACTCAAACCACTATGCCACACTGGTTTTCTACTTGGCCATAGTGCAACAAATGTAGAAAGCAGGGATTCACAAATGTAACCATTTCACATGGAGCTGAATTCTTTTGTTTGCCCCACCTAAAGTAGAGCCCTTGAATCTATTGGATTTATCTACGGTATATGCTGACAAAAACTGACTGAATGTGTTCAACAATGGATGGAATGTGTCTGTTCTAGTTGGGACTCACACACAAGATTCCTAAGGTGAACCTATCACAGGCAAGATTGGTTCAGAGGGGGTTTGCCTTCCTCTGAGGCCAAGAGAGTGGGATTTATCCTTAGTCACTCAGTGGGCTTCCATGGTTGAGTGAGGATTCAAACCCTGGTCTCCTGGAGTCCTAGTCCAATGCTTAAACCATTACACTATGCTTGTTCTCACACTATTCCTGGCTTTCACAACTGATGCAAGCATCCATAAATTATTTAGAGATCCAAATTTCACTGCCAACAACCCCATACAGAGACACCCTCCCATGACCCTGGGCAGACAATGATGCATTGGTATGATGTTCTCTCAATGCTCAGTGCCCATTCAGATGTGGATCACCCTCTTTCTTTGCACCAGATGCAGCTTTTCCAGCAGATCCACCCAGAAAGTTTATTACAGAAGGCTAACTGCAGTAGGTTAAGTTTAGTACAGTCATTATTAGAATATTGGAGTGGGAGGATGCTTGTAAACATCTCTGTGGCTCAACATTCTAAGTCAAGGGCAGAAAACATCTTTTAGCTCAAATGCCAAATTCAGTTTCAGACTAGATCTGTGGGTGCACATTGCAGCACTGAATAAAGCCAAAGAGGTGGGAAAGGGTAGGACCGAAACTACCAATATAATTTAAGTTGAAGCTCTTGCTTCAAGTAACTAACCCTTCAGAGAGCCTTTACAACCTCTTAGAATGGAAAACCAATCATATACAAAATATGAGAAAGCACAAACAATAGTGTCATGGAGAATAGGGAATGATAACCTGGAGGATTCCAGAGGGCCATATTGGGACCCTGGAGTCTCAGGTTTCCTAAACGTATTTTAGCTGCAGCCATTTCAGGGCCACATGTCATGGGCCTCTACAAAATAATTCAACTTTGGATCTGCATGTGGAACCTTTGATTTCAAAGGCCAAGATAACTCAACATTTGATCTACTGTTCTGAGATGTTAAAAAAATACTTCATAGCCAAAAGATTGTTTGATTTGAAATATGTCTTTTTGTTGGTTTGATTGGTGATTGCCGAGGAGATGTCAGGAGATAACAGAATGACCACTGCTGTGCATAATAACATGATGACTACAATATGATTTCTTAGTAACTTATGGCTTGCCTGTAGAAAAATTTGGTGACCTAATGAATGTTTGAAAGGAAAAAACATAAAACCATACAATTTTAGACTCGTTCCATTTATATATCTATATATATGAAACATGTTTGCAATTAAATTTTGGTGGATACATTTTTTTAAGTAACATCATCCTAATGAGAATGTGTTGTCACATGACATTAATTTGGGCAAAAAAAAATGATCATCAAAGAGGAGAGAGAGAGAGAGGAGCACATCTTAACTGCCATTAGATTCTATATGCCATTCAACTGATGTTATTTGCATGCTGGTTCTCATCTACTTCCCTGCAACCAAATTACTTTTGAAACCCTTTACATCTATATTTTTGTCCTCTGCCTTTATTTAACGTCTGCATGATTTGTGTCTTACCTTTGCATGAGGGTCTCATTGTTTCAAACATGAATATTTGCAACCCTAATGAGACATCATAGTTTTCCATGTATATAATTTTTCCACCTTTGTGGTTTTTCTTTTGTTGTTGTTACTAAATTTTAAATCTGCTTGCAATGTAAAAGTGGCATGAAACTTTTGTGACACAAGCAATGAAATCCTATACATTTGGAATCAGCTATGGGCACCACATTCTCAATCCTTAAATATATTGGAATTCTAAATTTCCTGGCAAAGCCCAAGAAGCACAAAGTATTTAGGCCTATTACCTTGAGTTTAAGCAAGAAAAGTAAATTGTCACGGAATGGTCTGAATCCTACTGATTATTCACTGAATCACTTGTTAAAAGGGAGATTAAACATAGTGAGGATTTACATAGATCCCATTCATTCAATGGGTCTGCTCTATTTGGGGGCTACCAATACATTCAAGCCATTTTTTATTTCTGCCCAAGTGAGCTGTCATCTGGTTGATGAAGAAGTAAGGCTAGATTAATAATTTGAGTTTTAGTTAACTGATTCATGAATAAAAAAAATAACATTTTCACAAATGTACATATGATTAAAAATGATAAGTTTCCTAAACTCTTGGAGGAAGCATTTTTGTTTTGTTTCTCAATGAAACACACCTGTGGCACAGCAAACAAGTCTAATATTTTTAAAAAGCATTCCTGTAGTGGGAAAGAGGAGGGTCAGAGTT